TTCAACCAGCAGTATGGCAGCAGTAATCCTTCTTCCACCTCCACCTTTTTCATAGGTCAAATGCCTGAACATATGGGAAGGTATTTCAATTTGTAATCATGCCTCACGATGAAACATGCACCCTTGTGGAATTTACGACATTTGGCAATAGGGAAGGAGAGTTAGTCATCGGGAGGGATAAGAGTGGAAGTTGGATGTTCAATGTTCAAACTAGCCAAAGAAATTAAGACCCTGAGCAGAGAGCTCTGTTACGGCTGGAAGGTACAACCTGACCTTTTATACCAAATGAGTTATTATTTGTATGACCATAGTGCCTTGGAACTCCATGCATGGATCCAGATCCATCGTTCCAGGTCCTCCTGGAATTGTGGACACCAGAAAGGATACAGCTGCGGTCACAACCATCAGTGCCAAACGCAAAGGTAAAATAACCTATCTGAATGGGTGGTGGGTGAAGGTAGGGCTGGGGGAGGCAAGCCTCCAAACCCACCCCTTCCACCCAAGCCCCACTCCCAATAAAAAATGTTAAGGAGCATCAGGCCAAGAATTGATCTCTGTGGGGCCCCATTAGAAACATACCTGCTTGATGGTGACTCCCCATTTGCCGTTCGCTTTTGAGATCTATCGATTAGGTTACACAATCCATTTCATAACCATGAGCAGTTGTGTCCATTTAATGTGTGCCAGGCGGATTTTACATCACCCTTGGTTTTTTAACTGAAATGTTGTGCAGTACCACGTCAAACAGATGACAGCATTCTAAATATATAAAATCAACACTATTGTCTTTGAAAAGTTTCTCCGTGCTGAATATGTAAGGCCTGCTCCAAGCAAGGGGATGCGAGAACGTCTCAGAACAAGGCCACAAAAGTCTGTTATAATGGACAATATAAAGTAACCTAAATACCTTAAAGTATTATTGAAAATATCTAAAAGCGACTCTACATACTAGTGACACCTGTGTCAAAGAACGGTGAAACAATTTTTTCAAATTCTTTTTTTTCCCCTAGGAGATAACTGTTGAATGTTGTAACAGCTGAACAAGGGTTTTATTAACACTTTAACCCTGTCAGGTCTGAGACCCATGGCAACACTGTCCTCTGTGTTTTGGGAACTTTGCTCAGTAGCCTGGGAGGAAGTGACTCTAGTGCCTTCCCCAAGACCACTTCCTCACCTCCAAATCTGGTCTCTGTCCCATTCAGAAGAGAGCCTGAGTCAAAACAGGCAGATGACATGCAGAGATTACCCAGCTGATTTTAGAACCTCAAAGCAAGGTGCAGCCTTTTTAAAATGGTTAACCCATCATGAGTCCAAGGGAGTCTTCAAAGCTCCTTTCAGGCAGGAGTTTGGAACACGTACATCTCTTGCTAAGATTGACTGCAGGCAGGTTAACTGGTTTCAGGTGTATCTCAGCCCTTCCCTTTCCGTGAAGCACTCCCAGAACTTCCTCCTCCAGGACACAAGGGGCAGTACACTCACTTCACAGCTCTATTCACTATACTGATAACCAGGGCTCACCAAGCGGCGGCGAGCCCCGCTCGTCAGCCGCATGGTTTCGCGTTGTTCTGCGTTTTGCACAGATCGCTCTGCGCCGGCTCTTCCGGCCCAGGGCGAGTAGATTACATTATTTGTCGAGCCCTGCTGATAACACAACAAAGCAAGCAGACAAACCACTGTGCAAAACAAGACCATAGGAGGGAGGAGCGTTTACGCCACTGTCCTCTGCTGAGAGCTGGCATTTCACAAGTGCCCCTCCTGAGAACACTATGTGGAAGATGCTGGCATGAACAAGAACTCGCTCCAGGGAGTCACTACAAAAATAATCGGTACACGACAGGACGTGTGGCGGAGCTGGCATTTCTCCTTGATTTTTGAGCTGGTGTTGCAGGCCCTCTGGCTGCATGAAGGGGGAGTCCCACAAACAGTTTAGGGTACATGGAAACTGCATCCCTGGATTCCTGCCGCTTGGGAACTAATGGGAAAAGCAGGAAACTCTCACAAGGTGAGAGAAACCAGAAGTTTACTGCACCCCTGAAATCTTGAAGCTCTGGGGAGGAAGAGGATGAGCCCTGTCTAGAGAGTCAACGACTACGGAAAGCCAAAAGGCTAGAATGGCCAATGAGGAAAAATAGCAAAGAAAGACTGAAACAATAAGGAAGTCTGTTAATATAAAGGAAGTTCAGATCCAAACTGGGTCATGGGGACGGGACTGGAGCAGCGAGCAAAACAAAAATAGCAAGGAAAGAAAGATAAATAAGAAGTTCTTAAAATAAATTAGACGCAAACAGACCGACGAGGAAACAAGAAAGCCATTGAGAGGGAAATGGAGAACGTCCAGGGAAGGCCAGTATTGCTCAGGGCTTCAATTCATCCACAAGGGAGAAAATGACGAAGATGAGGAGAATCATCATAGCAACAAGGAGGAAGAGGAAGGAAAGTGTAATTGGAAATCAGAACCATGTGAATTTACCAACAGCAGCTCCAGCCAAACAGCTTAATATTCAGCTGAGAAAATAATTTCCATGACAAATGGAAATCGTACGGGGAGCACAAAATAATTTAAAGCAACTAAAACTCTTCAGTTTCTTCTTAATTTCTTGTTTTCCTTCCTGGCCTGTCAGCAGGCATCCTGCCTTGCTAGATCCTGTATCCTCTGACTTTACAGATGACCAAGGTGGATTTTAATTCACAATAAGCACAGCATATAAAAGCCTCCTCCACAGAACATGCAATGGGCGTTCCCGAGGCACTGCAGGACACAGAAGCGTCTGTTAACTAAGACGCATGGTGGAGAAGAGGCTGGAAAGATGCTGGGGTATCACCAAGGACAAAGGGAAGCACCAGGCAGCTGCAGAGAAGCTGCTACAGAATAAAAGACGAAACTGCAGCATCCAGTGTCAACGGGAGAGGGAGACACCTGGTGAATAACAACCCTGAGCCATTTAGTGAAGCAAGGGCATGTCTAGTCTACGTTTTCATTTTGAAAGAGGATATGCAGACTCCATGGGAACTTGCACATCTTTTTGAAAGCGGGTCTTTTGAAAGTGAAAGTAGTCTGGACGCATTTTTTTCAGAAAAAAAACCCTTTCTCGAAAAAAACTGCTCTTCCTAAGAAAAAGGAGGTTTACGTGGTTTTTCGAAAAAGGGCTTTTTCTGAAAAAACTGCATCCAGACTACTTTCACTTCCTAAACACCCGCTTTCGAAAAAGCAATCGGAAGAAGATATGCAAATTCCCGTGGAGTTTGCATATCCTCATTCGAAATTAAAACGTAGTTTAGATGTGCCCCAAGAGAGGAAGAGCAACTCTGAGACACCAACACCAGTCCCTGGAGGTCACGTATCACTAGCCTCAAGCCTGCAGGTACCATGAATCTGGCCTCCCCCCCAAAAAATAAAAATCACAATATGTTCTACAACTACTATGGCTGGAAACTTGCTTCTCTTTTTCAATGAAAGCACAGGGCATCACGGAATGACAGGCCTCCATGAGCTGTGGCTTCAAGAAGAACACTCAGCAGTTCAAGACTCTTGATACATTTTTTAACTGGAAACCCTCAATACGTTCCTAGCAAGGAAGAGCTTTTTGCAAACTGGGACTCAATGGATTCTGCTCATTGCTTTGGTCAAGGGGCTGGTGGGAGACAGCCATCTTCCATCTCCACCCTGATGCCTAAGGCAATGAGCCCTTCCTGGGTTTCTATGGACATGGCTTTGTTTTGTTATGGCTCCCCACTGCCCCGTGCTTGGCGTCCTGGAGAGAGAGCTGGTGGAGTGCAGCTCCCAGGACCTTCAGGAGGACTTCTCACGTGTCTCTTCACGGTCCAGCCGCCATTGTGCAGCGGAACCAGCTTCTGCCAGCTCAGAGCACGGCAGAAAGAGGGAAGTGTTTCACCCAGAAGAGATTCCTGGAGAATGAGGAGTCAACGGCCTCACAACAGCATTACTGGGAAGGAAGAGGAGCCTCTTCCCTGAGCCATACGCACCGTAGAGACAGAATCACCAATGACCATGTCACTTGGCTATCACCCAATTCCCATGACACCGTGCTAGAGCACTGGGGAAAGTGTGGAAAGAAGTGGGAATTTGGGGCACACTGAGATGTCTCCGTTTCCTTGTGGCCTTGCTCCACCGACAAACTCAGCATCACTCGAGGTGCGTAAAAGGGCGTGTGGTAAAGCCACCTCAAGTGTCAGAACTGCCTGAATGGTCACACAGCAGCAAACTGTAGAATCTCAGGGCGGGCAGAGACCTCAGGAGTCATCGAGTCCAGCCTGCCCAAAGCAAGGCCAAGCCCAAAGCACTGGCCTAACACCACAAATTTCAATGGACAGAATGAAACAGGAAAAAGCACCTTTCGTGCGCTAAACTCAGAATGCGCGCCCCGCGCGGCTTGCTCGTGAGCACAGTGCAAGTCGCCCTCTTGTGGTACTCTGTGGAAAAGTGCCGAGGGAATGCGGCCTAGCACAGCACAGCTCCCACGAGAGATCAGCACAAACACAGGGATCTGCCCAATTACAACCAAAGATGCGGGACGGGCTGGACAATTCACTGTTATCATTAATAGGAACCATTTTAATTCGTGAGGAGACTACAGGCGTCTGTGCCTCGCACAATAACAATGACATCGCCCCCTTCTGTCCCGTTCCAAGCCAACTCACCTGCCGCTTTTTAAAGCGAGAGAACGGTCACACGACTGAACTCTGCCTGCCATACCGAACCCAGCCCCTCCGTGTCTCCCCTCTGAGCTGCGTAAGTCACCGTCACCTCAGAAAAGATCTCAGCCCCACAAACGGGAGGGGAGCGACCAGCCAGATGAGGTAAACTCCATCACGCCCATACTGCCGTGAGAGCCGGGACCGTCCCACATGCGCCGAACCGTACGACTCAACGGGAAGGTTTCCCTGGCTGAGAGGTGAACGGCTTCCCCAGGAACGTGCCCGCAGCCACAGCACCGGGTGCCAGTCCCCCCTCACACACACACAGTGAAGTTAGTACTTACTGCCTTGTGAGGCTCCTTCACCTGAGGCAGCTTCAGTGTCTGCAAAGAGAAAGAGCCGCACTTAGACTTGCCAGCACATCCTACCAGACGTTTGACAGCACACAGCGACGTCGCCTGGGTCTCGGGGCGGGGGGTTGGGGGGAAGCTGCAGTTTTGTAATTTCTGGCTCTGCAGTCTCTGTCTGCCAGGCTCTGTAATACCCAGGCCATAGCTGGCTGCAAGTCCCTTTTTCTAGAACACGCATGACACAGCAGATGCAACAGAGACCAGCCCCCGGGGATGCCAACTATGACTAACTGCAGCTCTGAACTCAGCCCTAATTCAGCAGAGCCAGTCCGGGTGTGCCTGGTCCTACTGAGGGAGGAGAATACCATGAGTCTTTGCAGGCCTCATGCTGAAGGCTCCCTCCAGATTAAGCAGCTTAATCAGGAGGTGGGGATGGGGAATGAGGCCTGCCCAGGTCTTTCTCTCAAAGTGCAGCTGTTTGGGGGCTCTCGGTCATGAAAGGCTCCCAGGTTGTCCACATCCCTGAGCGATGCCGTTATACTGGCTCAACTCCTGGTGCACAGTTCTCTCGGGGAGGTGGCGTGCCTGTGTCGGTCAGGAGAGGCTCTCCTGTCAGCACAGGTGGGAGTCCAGAGCCTCACTCTCTGGTGCGCTAGATGGCAGAGATCTCTCTGATCTCCCACCTTGCAGCTGGCTGCAGCCCCAGCTATTCTTCTCCCCCAGATGTTATCACTGAAGAGATGAGCAGAGAATGAGTGGTTCTGCAAGGCCCCATTGGCTCTTTATGTCCTCCCTTTTCAAAAAAATGCAAAACTTTGGAGACTAGTGTTGGTGTGAGAGCAGATAGTCCCGGTGGATTTGTGGCGGGGATGGCCAGACAGGCTGGGTGAAGTTTGCTCAACAGTTCAGGTATTACCAACTGAATTTGTAAATGTAAATCCAACATTTTCTACTACAGGTGGAACCTCTCTAGTCTGGAACCCTCAGGACCTCACCAGTTCCGAATGAGAGAATTTTATGGCCCACGGGAGGTCAAGATTGTCTAGCAGTATTACCAACACTTCCATGGCTTACTAGGGTGTTAGAGGACATTTAGGGGTACAATAGCGCTAAAGGACAACACAGAACACTAAGAGCCGGGACTGGTGGCTGTGAACAACTTTTATGGGACCAGAAACTTGGCCAAACTCATGAAAAGTGGACATCCAGCTCACTCAAATCATGCTGGACCACGGATGTTTCTGGCTCAGAGAGGCTCAACCTGTAAATGACTGTTGAAATCCCTATGCCTCAAGTCTGGACAAGTGGTGTAAACACACAAATACAAATGTAAAAGGGAGAGCGGATGCTCTCTCCCTAAGGGATGCCAGAACTCTGGGCCACTTTGTCACTTTTCCAGATACTCTGGGCTCGATTCACAAGGGTTTTTAGGGCCCTGGGATGCTCCATGTTGCAACCCATGACTTTTAGGTGCCTAGTGTAACACTGAGATTCCTACATCTGAGTCAGTCATAGTGGTAAAGCCAGAAGGGATCCTGTCAGACCTGGGTACGACAGACTGCTCAACACCCGCACACTCAGCCCACCCCAGACAATGAATGGAGTCAGGCACCTAGCAATGGGATTCAGAAGAGCCGGCATACTGAGCTGCCAAAGCTAGCCAGAGGGAGCTGGGTTTGTCCTACGGCCTGCACCTCTTGGGACCCTGACGGTAAAGCCATTGCGGAGAAACTAAATGATTTCTTTGCTTCAGTCTTCACAGCTGAGGATGTTGGGGAGATTCCCGAATCTGCACCATCCTTTGTGGGTGATGAATCTGAGGAATTGTCCCGGATTGAAGTGTCATTAGAGGAGGTTTTGGAACAAATAGAAAAACTTAATATTAACAAATCTCCGGGACCGGATGGCAGTCATCCAAGGGTTCTAAAAGAACTTAAGTGGGAAATCGCTGAGCTATTATCTGTGGTTTGTAACCTACCCTTTAAATCGGCTTCCGTACCTAATGTCTGGAAGGTAGCCAACGTGACACCAATATTTAAAAAGGGCTCTAGAGACAATCCTGGCAATTACAGACCGGTAAGTCTAACTTCAGTACCAGGCAAATTAGTCGAAACAATAGTAAAGAATAAAATTGTGAGGCACGCAGAAAAACATAATTTGTTGGACAAAAGTCAACATGGTTTCTGTAAAGGGAAATCATGTCTTACTAATCTATTAGCGTTCTTTGAAGGGGTTAACAAACATGCAGACGGGGGGATCCAGTAGATATAGTATACTTAGATTTTCAGAAAGCCTTTGACAAGGTCCCTCACCAAAGGCTCTTGTGTAAATTATATTGCCATGGGATAAGAGGGAAGGTCCTTTCTTGGACTGAGAACTGGTTAAAAGACAGGAAACAAAGGGTAGGAATAAATGGTAAATTTTCAGATTGGAGAGGGGTAACTAATGGTGTATCCCAAGGGTCAGTCCTGGGACCAATCCTTTTCAACTTATTCATAAATGATCTGGAGAAAGGGGTAAGCAGTGAGGTGGTAAAGTTTGCAGATGATACCAAACTGCTTAGGATAGTCAAGACAGAAGCAGACTGTGAGGGACTCCAAGAAGATCTCACCAAACTGAGTGATTGGGCAACAAAATGGCAAATGAAATTTAATGTGGATAAGTGAAAAGTAATGCACATCGGGAAAAATGACCCCAACTATACGTATAGTATGATGGGGGCTAATCTGGCTATGACAAATCAGGAAAGAGATCTTGGAGTTA